GTCATAAGCTGAAACCGCATTTATTTGATTTGATGAAATGCCTCGGTCACCGTGACTGCATTCGCATAGACCATTTTCTGGTGGCCGTAAGTGGCATGCTTTTGCGCTGGGTGCAAGCAGAGCATGCCGGTGGTCTTTGATGCGACACCTTCTCCCCCTCCTCCTCCCCCTCCACCTATTCTTTTCCTTTTTTTCCACAATTTGAGTGCTTAGTCAACCCAATCATTTGGTGGCAATGCTGAGGTGAGTAGTTTGCGTTGAATCGGTTTAAAGGGCGCATAAATGATGGAGGAAAGTTTGTGGTTGGCAGTAATGGTAGGAGTGTTTGAGAGGCACCCACTTTCAAGCAAGCGGCATCACCTAAGGCTGATGGTCTTGTGGAGGGATGGCGACTCACGAGAAAACGCATGTCACGCATGCCACCGTCTTCGCCTAACAAACCACCATCCTGCTTCGTTATCCACAGTGTCTAGGGGGAAGGCAACTTGGTGCTAAAAGGTTTAAGAGTTGGTTGGAGTTGCTTTCACCAACCAAACTGCCACATTCGTGGTCCTGAAGAGTGACTTACTGCAACACCCCTCCCAGTGCCATGTGGGCGACAGTACACTCGCGTCAGCATTGGGTGCATTCTTCCTCCAGGAGGCGAGACTCACATTCATCCAACGGAGTGGAATGAACGTTGGGTGGAGGACAAAGTCAACGCAGCCGAAGAAGACGAAATCAGCAATTGTCTTTGCCTGATGAGGGAGATGAAACGCGGCTACTCCGTCTCCCTGCTGTGGTTCAAGAGAAACGTCATCGTTGTGCGCATTTTCATTATCCTCGGCGACGTACTCACTTTTGTAGGCACTTCTGCGGATGTGGGAGGGAAGTGCTACTTGCAGCAATGGAAGAGGCCTTGTGTTTTGCCTTCAGGGCATATTTCTGTGGGTACTGGTCTTCGCGACGTACCTCCTCACCGACCCTGCCATTGAGAAGCAGCACATTATCGGCATCATAAACAATGACACGATGCCATACCCACCGCAACCCGACTTCGATATCCAAGAACACATCTCCACCATAGTTGCTTATCATCGTGAGTTTGCCCTCCACCTGCATGCTACTCATTTCCACTTAAGTATGACGCAAGTGAAGTTGCACGCAAATCAATGCTGTGCTGTCAGTTGGTGGTGATGTAGCAGTGGTTTGGTTGTTGAATTAAGGTTGTTGTTGAATTAAGGTCCCTTCTCAAGAGCTGCAGCCACAATC